CCTCAGTCTCCCGAGTGCTGGGATTATAGGTGTGCGCTACCATGCCCGGCTGCTCCTCATTTTCTTAAATGGACACATATGATGTCCTATTCCCCTTAGAGTTTGCCTTTTGACTTTCAACACATTCTCTCTGTCTCTGTCTCCGTCCCTCTGTCTGTCTGTCTCTCTCTTCTCTCTCCTTTCAAAAGCCAATTGGCAAATTGCTTCTTGTTCTCCCTGCTATTACTACTGACCTATTTCACAAGCCCATTTTGAAAGTAAAAATCTGAGCTCTGAGTTTCTGCGTATTCCAAGGCATGACAATTCTCTTTTTCCCCCGAGGCGATGCATAATTTTCACTGGGGAGAAACAGAGAATAAGGAAATGCCAAAATGAAAATCACCTTGATGGATGTTTTAAACAGTGTGCTTACCTGCTGCGGAAGATGAGGCTCTGAAGCAGGAGAGAGTAAGAGAAAGCAGAAGCCCTGCCTCAGAGGTCTTGTCCCGTAGAGCATTTCCCAGAGCCCCAGACTGCATTCTTATCTGTGCATCACGAAATAAGCCCTTTCTGAATGCCACGTCCCAAGCATAGAGCTTATCTCGCAGCTGTTCCCATTTGTCAGCAGTGCCATCAGCCTTAAGACTTTTGCTGTTGATTCAGGTCTCAGGGATCTGTGTTAAAACAAATTAACTATGAAATTCCTCTTGATTCTGAATAGAGTCTTATAGTAGTTTTTATCCTGTTGGGACTTTTGTAAATAGTCTCATGAACTCAGTAGGGATTGGATCAGTGGTTTCCATTTCATAGGGGGGAAATATCAATCTTGAACTTCTTCCCTTTTTGGTCCAATAAATATTTATTGAACACTTTTTCTACAGGAGCTACATTAAGCCCTGGGAGTGTAAGTTACCTTGAACCCACGTGTTGTGAGTACTAAGAAAGAAGACACATGAGCAGATATTTTTACTATAAAATGACAGAAGCAGTGAGTAGGTGTCAAAAGGTCAAAAGGAAGTGCATAACTTGGCTTTCACTTCTGGAAAAGATGGGCTCTGAGCTGGCAAAGTGCACAAGAAAAGCTGTGTTGGCTTATTCTCTGTGGAATTCTGAGCATCCAACACAAGGTAGCACCGAGTGCGTGGTCTGGTTCATGGTAGACGTTTAATACAGTGAATTTATGAAAAAAATCTCAGTAGAGAAAATGTTATATGCACAAAAAAAAGCATGGGAAAGTACAAGTGGTTCAGAATTACAATATTAATCCTTTGGAAAACTAATGAAAGCCATGGAGCTTCTTTGCAGAAAAATAAACACTTGCTCAAATTTAACAGATAATTTTAGGGGACATAGATACCCCCGAACCCCATACACATTGAGAATCTCTATAGTAGAACGTTGGGAGCATGAAGATTTTAATATTATTTTATTCTAAAGTAGGTGAAAGAAGTACTTAGGATTATTTCAGATGCATTGCGAAGGATGTGTTACACTGCTTTGTCCTGAAAGCAGGTGTTTCACGGAAGAAGTTGCTGAACTAATTCTTTAAGAGACGATTTAAACTGATTGAAAGATAAGGTTGCAGAATGGGGATGAGCCATGGGGTCAAGAACGCTTGGGAGGTAAAACTGGCACTTATTGGTATTTGGATGGATTTGGAAGGAGTTAAGATCAACTTTCAGTTTTTTGGATGATGTGGTGGATGGTGATGACATTGTCCAGGAAATGAAGGAACAAATGTCTGTCATGTTTGGAATGCAGTGATGGAGAATCTAACAGGGGAGAAGCAAAGAGTTTAGGTTTGATCATCATGAGGTCACCTGAGGTAACCAGGTAATGACAGACAAGAATGAAGTCGAGGGACCATGGTGAGCTTACATAAGCCTTAATGGAGCAAAGGACTATGGGAAAGTGGAGGTGTGCATTTTAGAAGCTCTCTTGGGCAGTGAAGAGGACTGATGTTCACGTCTAAGTCTAAGAAATGTGGAGGGTGGAGATGATGTGGTAATTCCCCAAATGAGGGCTGTGAGGGGGCAGGATCTTAGGGCCGCTGAAACAAAGTCTCTTAAATTAGGCGGCTCAATTAAAACACAGAAATTTCTTGTTACACAACTCCAGAGGCCAGAAACCAGAAATGTCTAGGTTGTCATCTCCCAACCTCTGGTGGTCTGTTGGTGATCTTTAGTGTTCCTTGGAGTAAATGCATTGCTCTGATTTCTGTCTTTCCCTTTTATCTTTACTGCCGTATGCTCATCTTCTGATAAAGATACCAGTCAGATTGGCGTAGAGACCAGTGCTTCTTCAGTATGATCTCACCTTAACTAACTGCATCTGTAATGCCCTTTTTTTCCCAAATAAGACCATGTTCTAGATATTGACGGTTTGAATTTTAGTATACCTTTTAAGGGAACAGGTTCTACCCACAACAGGAAAGATACGGTTTTTATTTTTTATTTTTTATTTTTTTTTTATTTTAAAGAGTAAAAGAAGAAGATACGGTTTTTACTCCAGAGGAAATGGAGGAGCTTTTTTTTTTTTTTTTTCTCTTAAATGGAGATTTTGGGCCAGGGATATAGTTTAGCAACACAGCGCCTGCCTGGCAAGCATGAGGTCATGGATTCAATTCCTGGTACCAAAAAAAAAAAAAAAAAAAAAAAAAAAAAAAAAAAAAAAAAAAAAAAAAAAAAAAAAAATTAAATGGAGATTTTGTTGCCACTATCTTCAAAATGCCAAGTTAAAATGATTAGGGGTTGTGATGGTGGGTGGTGGGGGTTCTAGTCAGAGGAAAAGGGAAAAGAAGAACTACCTGACATTCTGGGTGACAGAAGACTGATAAAAGTGTGAAGCACGAGGAACCAGATGAAGTTCTGGCTTAAGGGTCAGCCATGGTAAGTGTGACCAGGTAGTGTGGCAAAAACACATTACACAGACTCTGGGTAGAAGAGCATCCAGTGGTTGCTGCTGACTGGTTGCTATTGACTGGTCGGTTGATGTTTGATGAAAAGTCACTTGATTTTAGCAGACTCTCAGAGTTTTCTGCACTGTGGCTGAGTTTTCCTAAAAGCTGCCAATGTCACTATTTCATTCTTTTAACTATTTTCCTCTTGCTTTTTCTTTTTTTTTTTTTTTCCTCCGGTACCGGGAATCGAACTCACAACCTTGCGCCTGCCAGGCAGGCGCTGTGCCGCTGAGCTAAATCCCCAGCCCCTCCTCTTGCTTCTTCTAGCAGGTGGGAAGCAGTTATAGCCTGACAGGTACTTCTGTGCTCATAACTTCTTTGTTTTCTTTGGGACTTTGAAGATTTCATTTATTCGCAGAGAATTTAAAAGTAAATCCAATGAATAAAGTTGTTATTGTTTGAGAAAACCTTCTCTATGCACTTACTTCTTTTATTGCCCTTATGAATTCCAAAATGACAAGGTGCAGGGCAAAAAATGTTAAGTCAAAGGCTGTTATCATACTGCAAAAAATGCTGAAGCAGGCCCAACATTTTTGGCTTTCTAGAAAATTCTATTTCCTTGTAAGCAAAGAGATCTAATGCTCTAGCTACAGCTCTGCATTTTACTTGTTTGTGTTATTTATTAAATAATCTCTTAAATATAGCTCCAGCAACTTTATATTCTATTTAATCCATTTTCTTTCTTTTTGCTTTCTTTCTTTCTCTCCCTCTCTCTCTTTCTTTCTTTTTTGTCTTTTTGAGACAGGTTCTCGCTATGCAGTCCAGGCTGGTCTTCAGCTCATTTTGTAGCCGAGGCTGGCCTCGAACTCAAAAATCCTGCTGCCTTGGCCTCCCAAGTGCTGGGATTAAGGTGTGTGCCAACACGCCCAGCTCTTAATCCATTTTCATGAAGGATTTAAACACATATTGTCTGATAGATATAGTTTCATAAAAAGAAGCTCCTACCCAGGTGGACAAACGTAAATGCCAATGTAGCTATGCCTTGGAGTGCCCTGCAGATTTGGCAGAGTGTGTGTGCCATCACTGGCTGCAGCCTTCTAGAGGACCCACCAAGGGTGACAGGCTGCCATGGCCCATGGTCAGAGTCAGCCCAGTGGGTGGCATTAAACTAAAAAGATGTCCCTATATGGTGCTTGAAACTAGAAACAAGTGACTCAGAACAGAAGGCTGGTCCAAAAACTTCAAACTTCTACAGCTTCAACTTCAGGTGAAGAAGGCAGATTTCACTCAAGTAAAGTGCCAAAGGACAAAACAAAGTATTGTCCTAGCCCTAGTCATTGACCTCAAGGTGAGGGCCTCTCAGCAGATTGTAGACTTCCCACCACCTGTTGAAACAGGCCTGAAGGATGCTGTTCACAGTGGGTTTTCTGCAGAAGTTCTGATTCCTGTAGTTGGTGAATATGATCCTGTTTCCTAATGACTATGAGAAAGAAGTGAAGGTATGAAATTAACACACATAAATCATAGCATTCCTGTAAATCAGTAATGAACTTCCCAAGTAAGAAATTAGTACAACAATGCCATTGTTATGGCTTATGTTGAGATGTCCCCTGAAATTCTCATGCAGTCATAGGTGGAGATTTTTCAGAGGTGGCTGGATCTAGAGTGTGTGACTCTGAGATTGATTCATGGTACAATGCTAAGATCAAGGGCATTAGGATTAAGGGTGTGAGTGCTACCCACGCTAAGTAGCCTGGATAAGATACAAGGGGTGGAAAGAGCTGTCATTGTCTCTTGTTTGCTTTTGCTGTCTTCTGCCTGCCATGAACTGTTTCTCCTCTGAGATGTCCCTCTATCATGCCAACCTGCCTTGGAGCCAACCAAATATGGACTGAAAGCTCTACAAACTGTGAGCCAAATAAATTTTTCCTCTCTTAACTTGCGGTTGTTGGGTATTTTGTCTCAGCAGTGAGAAAAGTCACAAAGACAAGCATCAAGAAAAATTAAATACTTAGGAATTAATTAACTAATGAAGACCTCTACAATGGAAACTACAATACTCCAAAAGAGGAGATTGAAGAGGATATCAGACATTGGATAGGTATCCCCTATTCCTTGATAGGCAGAACCAATATTTTCAAGGTGGCCATACCTCCAAAACTGATACACAGATTTAATGCAACCCTAATCAAAATACCAATAGTGTCCTTACAGAAGTAGAGAAAATAATCTTAAAATTCATATGGAACCAGAAGAGACCCAGAATAGCAAAAGCAATTCTGGGCAACAAGATCAAAGAGGAGGTATCACAATCCTGGATTTGAAGTTATATTACAAAGCTAAAGTGATAAAAGCAGCATGGTACTGGCACAAAAATAGCCACGTGGATTAATAGAACAGAATAGAGGATGCAGAAACAACTCCAGGCACATCCAGCTATCTGATCTTTGACAAAGAGGCCAAGAACATATGCTAGAGGAGAGACAGCCTCTTTAACAAATGGTGCTAGGACAACTGGTTATCCATATGCAAAAGACTGAACCTAGACCCATATTTCTCACCATGTACTAAACTAAAATTAAAGTGGATTAAAAATCTAAATGTTAGAATGGAAACATTTAATCTACTGGAAGAGAAAATAGATAAAAATTTGAAGATGTAGGCATGGGCAAGGACTTGCAGAACAGAACCCCATTTGCACAAGAAATAGCATCAAGAATCAACAAATGGGATTATATAAAATTAA